ATGGTTAATGTCAAATTACACAAGCTTCCTTTATCGAACTGTTCCTAATGCACAATAAGTTTTACACATTTGACTCCTTGAAACTGAATTTTTTAGACCCCATTTTATCGGCTATTACAGCATAGCATGGGAGATTTGCATAACAATACAGAGTATTGGTAAATATATAGGTAAATATAAAAAAGAACAGCCTCAAATGGAGAATAGGTAATCCCTTAAACTATTAGCAAAGCGGAACATCTTTCATTGTAATACAACAATTCAAACAATAAAAAGATATCTCATCTTAGGTTCATATTTAAGTTTTGAAAATGACTTTTGCTTTGTAAAGATCAATAGCAAAATCTATTTACCTCCCAAAATGCAAAGAAAAAACGGGACCAATCAGTTATTGTTTCAATGTTTTTACCATGAATCCGCTCTTTCGCAATGGATACATGAGCAAGGAGATGGAGATTTTTCGGTCCATCTTCTCCTTCACGCATCCCTACATTTTCTGTAAAAAATGGTGGTAATATTGAGCAATACCCACTAAGCAGACATTTAAACTTTGTTTCCGTAACCTGGAATAGGGAAAAGCTTATTTTTGGTCCAGCAGTTTCTCAAGCAGTCACTGTTTAGGCTATTGTTTATCCAGTTACATTTCGCTTCGCATCTACTCCAGTAGGAGTCATGCGGAGATCAACCACATTCTCACTAACCTCAGGTGGTGCTTACTGGACGTCTCAGTGGTAATATCCTTCAGTAGTGGCTCAGATTACCGCCTCAAAATGCCAGTCAGCCGAAAGCTGGAAAAAAAAGGATTTGCCACCATGTTGGAGGAAGAAGGGAAGTCGTATATGAGGTGTCAGATTGGAGGAGCTGGACCACTTGTGACTGGCTCATCGAGGAGGACCCGACGAAAGACTACGACCTGCTTCTTAGAGGACTGAAAGCCTGTGGTGAAAGCGTGCTCAGCTCAATGCCTCGCACAAGAAACTTGAAACGAATTGAAAGCCACCAAGGATCTGCTAGAAAGGAGAAGAGCACTGAGGCTGCATCTGACTGCAACACATTTTGAGCGACTGGTAGCCAATACCAGTTGCAGATCAGCTCTGCAA